GACGGCACATAACAACAACAACAACATACTGCATTATCAGTAATAACAAACATTAATGTATGAGTGGATACATAGGTAGACAGGCTAATGATCAGGTATGGGTAGGCAAAATGGAATATACCCATTACAATGGCAGATGATATTTCTACATACATATTTGTATGTGGTACAAGATTGTCCATATACATATGGACTAATAGGGGGCAAAGTTATGATCACTTCTCAGCCATAGCCAAAAACCTTGAGGGAGTGAGTCATTGGGCCAGTGGGCTGGGGACCATGGTCACAGGGGACATGAAGTTTAATTGCCATAATATACTACACAAAATCAGAGTTCTACATCCTATTTTGGTGAGTAGCAACTGGGGTCTTAAAAGCTTGCAAGCAGCCATCTAGATGCAACAATGGGTCTCTCTTCATCCAGAGCAAAGAAGAATGAAAAAAAACAAAGCTGCATGGAAACAATTAGTCCAAGTAACTAGTAGACCATGTGATTCTCAGCCTATATGACCATGAGACCAGAAGAACTAGATGGTACCCAGCTACTATTGTCAACCATTTGGGAAGGGATCAGTGCAGAAGATCCTGGATAAAATAGGAGAACAATGTGGAACAAAACTCAAAATCATAAAAAAGACCAGGCTTACTGGTGATAGAGACTGGTAAAACCCCTGAGACTATGGCCCCTTGTTAACCTTTGGGCCTGGAATTGAACTCACTCCCGTGGCTTCCAGACAAACAATAGACAGGCATATAAGGTGAACATTTATACCAGGTAGGTGCACTCCTTAAAACAATCAACCATGGGAGAACAGAAGGGCAATATTTGCACAGGGACAGAGCTCAGAGGGCAGGAATACATAGGAAGGAAGGACACAGGAAAAAGGTAATCACAGGGAAGAGAGCTGTTACATTGTGGGGATCCCAATCAATGTCATGAAACAAAATGTGCATGAACTGTTGAATGGAAAAATTAATTTGCTCTGTAAACTTTCACCCAAATCACAAGTTAAAAAATTTTATAAATAAATAAATAAATAAAATGACCAACAGAAAAAAAAAAAAATACACATGTCAAGAGTAAGTACATTTTATAAAAGTATGGTGCAAGATTCTCTTGTCCATAATTCATATGCAGTAGTTGGCATTCTGGTTGTTCCCTAACTATTCATTAGTATGCATTTCACTACAATGAACACTTTTTGAATAAATCACTGTCCACATTCTTGATTATATTCAACAGGCAGACATCAACATCAGGCCCAGCATAGACAAGGATGGCACACAGGTCTGTGTGTACATCCTTCTGTATGAGAGTGACTGAGTTGTACATGGTGCCTTTGGAGTTACCAAAAACAAGTTTCCATGAGAATATCTTATAGTGTAAACCCCCTTGGGCAGGCCATCTTGAGTGGAAATGACAGTGTCTTCAGAGATATTGTGGTGAATTCTTACGGAAGATAAAACTACCATGAGCAGATTATGGCATTCTCACAGGAGTTAAATTTAAATCCTTACTCTGTCCTCATGAGTTGGGTGACCCTAAGCATGTTTTTATCTTCTCTGGGCTTCATCTGTAAAATAATAAAATAATATCTACCTCCCAGGATTGTGGGTTTAATGGCATAATATACATGGTACTTGCTTAATAAATGGCTTTATTATAGCTATGATAATAATAATGATAATGGAAATCAGTATCAGAGGCTATTAATCTGGCTATAAATCTTTACATAAGCAGACTGCTTCATCTCTCTTCCATGGAACGCTGGCTACCATCAACATTTTGGTTAGTGATCAAATGCTTTAACCATCGTACAACCAACGCTCCTGTTTTGTTTTGTTAGTGGTGCTCAACTATTAAGGGGCATAAGAGAGCCCATTAAAAGTTTCTTGGATCTCTTTTTTCAGAGGTTGGGATGGACCCATGAATTTGCATTTTTATCAAGATTATGGGGAGCCCTGGTGGCTTAGTGCTTTAGGCATGCAGGAGCTCTGGTGGTGTAGCAGTTAAGGCATTTGGTTGCTAACAAAAGGTTGGTGGTTCAAACCCACCAGCTGCTCCTCAGAAGAAAGATAAGGCAGTCTGCTTCTGTAAAGATTTACAGCCTTGGAAACCCAATGGGGGTTCCTATGAGTCAGAATTGACTCGATGGCATTGAGTTTAATTTTGGTTTTTGGTATCAAGTTTATGGGTGCTGCTGATGCTGCTGGTCTGCTTGTCTTATTCCACAGATGAAGAATAAACTGGCTTTCCACTAACCGCACAGCAAGCTAGCATCAGGGTCTTACAAAAATGCAGGTTTTCTGATTCCATGTCCAGACCTCTTTTTTTCTAAACCCCATTGTTTACGAATTCTAATTCTGGGCTTGAGAACCTAAATTCAGTAAGAAAACATTAAAATATAATTCTTACCTTACAATGTTCAAAATGACAAATGAAATGAAAATGAAAACTATGTTGTGAAACTTAAATTTCTTGATCTCTCCACATCCAATCACAATGCCAAAAAAGGTGTATATTAATTGATGGTATACAGATGAAAACATTATTAAGAACCTAGGATGAATGAAAGGAAAATCACATTTTAAGCAATGCATTTTTAAATATTCTACTTTTCATATAAAAGCCATTCTTATCTTAGCAGAGGCCCTTGCCTCCATCACAGTTACTATCAACATTGAAAAGTATTTTGTTGGAACTAAAACTGCCCTGTTCTGTATTCCCCTTTACTCTCATCACAATACCTGTGGGCTGCCTCTCATAGCAGAACAGTAGGAGCAAGGCAGAAAAACAAGGATTTTACCAGGATGTGTCTATTTCTTAGGGATTAGCTGTCAGAATATCAACTGTGAGCCTGTCACAGCTAAAACTAGAGCTAGCATTGCTGCAAGGAGACACCTGGGTAAACTGACTTGGCAATAACTTACAAGGTCATCTTGTCCTCTGCACAACTTCTCTGTGGTTTGCAAGTATTCCTCCCCTTACAAGAAAGTCATTCCTGACTACTTTCCCATCTACTAAAATCTTAAATATCTGGTAAAGCTAACTCTAATCCCCTGTCTTCCAGTAAACCATCCTAAATACTTGTTGGAAGCAATCTCCCACTAAACCCCTACAAGACCAATTGCCTACATCATCAGGATTCTTAAACCCAGGAGAGCAAGACACTCATCCAAACTGTTTTCTAAAGCTCTACACACTTAGCCCCACCCCTAGAGATTCTTAGTGAGCAGATCAGGGCACAGCAGTTAGCGCCTGGGGCTAAGACTGAGGCTTGGCCTCATCACAGGATGTGTTCTGTTTTGGTTTTAGGTGGTAACATGCCAGAGGTAGGGTGATATCGACTCTCAGGTCCTGCTACTTCATGGTCCACTCTAATGGGGTTTCCCCTTTCAGATGATGGGGTGGGTGTGTCTGCCCCACAAACCACTCTCCTTACAAGTGGGTCTCAAGATTTACACTCAGAAAAAAAAAAGCATTAGGAAGCCTCATTTTAGGTGCAAATATAAGCTGTGTTCTCAGATACTGTATTGCCTACAACTAAGCAGAAATTTTAATTCTCCATCTGATTCTATTATCTTGATCCAATTGATTCAGACCTTCTAATGAAGATGGGTATATGTGAGACCTCAAACCAAAGTGCTTAGTTTTTTGAAAATTCAGAAATCATGAAATAACTGAATCAAATATATTTTTTATATCCCTTCACATGACCTAAAAAAAAAAAAAATGTTTATATGGAGTAGGATACCAACAAATAACTAGGCTTTTACATAGATATATCTGCCACTTAACAAAGAACCCCTTCTGAGAAAGGACTTATCTTCATAGCCCAAAACCTAACAGAATGCCCAGGCCACAGTACATATCAACAAAGAATTGGCTGAGTGGGTGAAAGAATAAGCAATTGCATTAATAGAACAAGTAATTTATCTGGACACTGACAGATAGCATTACTGAGTTCAAGAAACTATCCAAACTCAGACACCAAGTATATTCCACAAGGTAGTTATTCCCAGGGAGCTCTGGTAGCATAGTGCCTAAGACACTTGACTGCTAACCAGAAGACTGGCGGTTCAAACCCACCAGCCACTCCTTGGAAGGAAGGTTGGGCAATCCTACTTCCGTAGTGATACTGCCTCGGAAACCCAAGGAGGGGTCGCTATGAGTCGGGGCCGACTTGGTGGCACATAACAACAACAACAGTTATTCCCAAGCTTTTGAATTTTATAAACTAGTAAATATTCACTTATACATACACAAGACTAACAACAATCATAGGTGGCAACATTTATTCCTTTATCACTGGCATTTTGTTTTTTTAAAAAAAAAGACAAAAGACACTTTAAACATCAAAAAAAAAGTAGGAAGAACATATCTCAGAACAATGGATAGTGCTTTACATTAAATAAATTAATCTTCATGGGAAAATTCAGTATGATTTTTTTTTTATTCTCATTCCAACATTTGCTTTTCATCTTATATGGGAATTTCTACATTAGATTATGATTTGCTGCCAAATAATTCTGAAACAATTCTATAATTTAGAATAGTCTCTCTGTGAAGGATTAAGTTATTTGTCTGAGAAGAAAGGCAAGTGGTTTTCCCTCTGTCCAGATGTCCATATGACCAGGTATAAAGAGTGGGGAAGAGTTTTGGTAGTATTGCATCCTTCTGCTACTTTTCTTTTCCAGGAGTGCACTTCCCATAATAGGGTACCATCACTTAGAAACGCTATGGGGGAAACAAACAAATAAATCTTTATTTTGAAAAGAATCCCCACAATTCAAAGTAAATTTTTATCAAAGATTTATGGATGGAGAGCACTATGGTATCTGAGTCACTGATAACACTATTCACAATAGAAATAACAATTAATAGCAATCATTGTTACTACCTTAAGTTCTTTTCAAATACATATTATAGTAAAATTAAGAATTAAAAGATAGATAACAATTATACAAAGGGAATTTTATTAGTGTTCACGAAGGCAGCACCCCTGAAACGGTAAACTTCTATGAGAGCTATACCAAGTACACAATATGAGACTTACTTGGTAATTACTAACTCGATCCTTGGTTTAAAACTTAAGGAATCTAAATTCAGTCCTACAGTGATTAAAGCAATAATGCCTGATGTTCCAAAAACTTCCGCTGGGGAGGAAAAAAAAAAAAAAAAGACAAACAAATAAAATTAAAAGCATTCAAATTTGCATTTTGAGATGCTTTATGTTGAGTGAAGAATTGGTAGGTAATTTGAGGGTAGTATTTCCTGGAAATTGACTTCAAGGGATGGACCTAATCCTGTAGATCAGGGACCAGCAAACTTTCTGCAAAGGGCCAGATAGGAAATATTTAGTCTTTGCAGGCCATACAATTCCTGTTCCAACTATTCAATTCAGCGATTTATAGTGCAAAATCAATACCTAAAAGAATGAATGGTCAGTAAAAGTTTACGAATACTGAATCTGAATTTCACTTAAGTTTCATGTCACTAAATATTCTT